CCGGAGGCTCGGGGTGCAGGCAGTGTCCCCGTGCCACCTGCCTGTGTGCTGGTTGTGGTGCTTTGCGGCTGAGGACCCCAGGATGAGGGTGGGCACAGTTGTGGGGTCGAGCAGGGGTTCCCTCTCAGGAGATGCTGGCCGTGCTAGCAGAGGGGCGTTCTGGTGCATCCCCCAGCCCTCCCTCCAGCAGCAGGACGTGGTGCTCTGTGTAGGTACCTCCTAGAGATGCACCCTCATGTGCTAGAAGGGCAGAGCAAAAGGTGGCCTCTCCCTGGGGTGAGAGCCTGGGCTGTCTCCCCGCCATGAATATCCGATTAAATCCCCCACCCGTGCTGGCTTTGCCGGCCAAGAGTGAAGCTGCAGCAGTCAGCACGGACACACAACAGGTTTGCTGATGTCTGCAAATCCCTGCCCTGGCTCTGCTCCCCGGGTCTGCGCCAGTCGCAGCAGCGCTCGCAGCGCCCACCGTGCGTTACTCAACGGTCCGAGACGGCTGTTCCTGGGGTTGGCTGCGCAGTGGGCTGTCTCCCCTACAGCCGTTCGCCTTTTTCCCTTCCCTTGTCCAATTCTGCCAGCCACGGGCAAGCAAAACCAAACCAGCCTCATCACAGCTTCCTCCAGCACCCAGGAGGCTGGAAAGCGGCTGGGGCAGCGGGTGCGTGGGGGGCAGACAGCCCGGGAATGCTGAGAGCCAGGCAGCTGTGAGAGAACGTGCTCAAACCAACCATTTATAGAGACCAGGGTGTCCCCTCGGTGCCGCACACGGTGTCCCGGGACGGTGACCCTCACCGTGCAGCTGGCACGGGCACCGGGACAGCCGTGCTGGGTGCCGTGTCAGGAGGTGAATCGTGTCAGGAGGTGAAGCCGGTCGCGCTGTACACAGTGAACACCTCCAGAGCGCACAGGTAGGCAGCGGTTCTCTGGTCCAGGCCCAGGTTGTACCTCGCAGCCGTGGCCGTATTTTGCTAGAGAGAGAGGAGAGCGGTGAGTCTGGTGTGTACTGGGGGGGTCTGGGGGTGAGGGGTGGGCAGAGGACCCAGAGAGGAGGGCGCAGGCAGCCCTGCGCGGGCAAGCACGAGGGCAGGCCGCAGGAGCACCCGAAAGGGGAAGGGGTCACCTCCACACCAAGCAGCCAAGTGGGCTCTG